ATTTGTAGCTGAAGCTTCTTCCTCAACCAGTCTTTGAAAAGTTTTCTAGTAGCAATACAGTCATTAATAAAATCCAGTCATGTAACAAAAAGGACACAGAGAGAGACTATGCTGGTTTTGGCTGGGGTAGTGTTAATTTTCGTCACAGTTTCTAGTGTGGGGCTGTGTTTTGGATTTGAGCTGTAATGTTGATAAAACAGGGATGTCTTTGTTATCTTTGGGAAGTGATTACAGAGAGCCTAGCTGGGTTCTGAAATCAACAGGTTGTACTAAAAACTGAAATTTCAATGCAAAATGTCACTCAGACTAAGAGCGAAATTAAATTTTGGAATATTTTCAAAAACACAGAGAAATGTCTGTTCAGAAAAGCTCCTATTTCTGAAGGTTTTCAAAATCAGGGATTTCTACATTTTCACTCCTTAAAATAAAACTTACTGGATGAGCAAAAATGTGTACCACAGTAATTACTAAAACTGATACACTTCCATAAATAAACAAGCACCTATTCAGTGTTGCATTTTCAACCTCTTAATTTAAATTTTTCCCCCCAAACCTTGTAGAAGCAGCAAGTTTGCTTTCAGATCAGGACAGATCTGACTCATATTCCTTTAACCTATTAGGCTCTGCTTATGGCTTTTGAGCTACGCAAATAAAAAACTGCAGAATGCTTATTAAAATCTAGGGATTTAAAACTACCTGAAAACAGCTCATTTTCTCTTAAAATGGTGGGAGTCAATCCCAGCCTTTTTATTTTAGGATGGGTTTGTCCACCAGAAGCTGGAGCTCACAGAAGGAGACACTACACTGTTTAAGAGTAAGGAGGTGTCTGAGAATCCCTGCTGTGCCCTTCATAAATTCAGAGATAATTAAAGCTTTTTAAGGTGAGTGCAGGTCACAGCTAAGCACTCTGTGATTTAAAACCAGGATCTATTTGTCTGTGGTGCCTTTTTCTTCCAGGTTCCTGTTGTTGTGAGCACAGCAGAATTTGAATAGGATAAGCACTGTTCATAAACTCCTGCTTTCCATAAATTGCTCGTCGGATCAAAAGCAGAACCTCCATGCAAGTGCACAGAAATCTCCAGCTTTGATTTTGGAACAGATGAGGCACCCTGTGTTCCTCCAAGATTAAAAAAACCCTGTTGGCATCGCACACAAGAGAGAAGGAAAGGGACGACGGGAAATTGTTCAAAACAAAGGAGATGGAAATTCAAAAATAGTATGAGCAGCTCAGATGACAGATTGAGAAGCGGATGAACTGCAATTAAAAGGACAATTTCATGGCCAAGGAGGATGCTCCAGAGACACAGTTAGAAAATGAAGACCCCCTGGACTAGCAGTGAGCTCAACTCAATATAAGACGTCTTCTGATGCGAAGGAAAATGGAGGCAAACTACCAATTTTAATTATATTATAATTTATAATATAATATAATATAATATAATATAATTTGTATAATTTTATAAAATTATAATTATATTATAATTTTGTAATGTATTTAGAGGTAGTTACCTCTATCCATGATTTCATAGGTGCATTTCCAAATTAAAGGAAGAAAAACAAGGACGAACCAAACCTGGGAGAAAATCACTAGCTCAACTGGAAAATGCAGATCACTCATTTCTCAAGCTTATTGAATGGGTGATCAAGGAAAAATAAAGCAGTTTATCACAAAAGCCAGCCGTGGGGAAAAAAAAAAACAAACCTGTACTTTTTTTTCCTGCAGAAAAGATTTGATATAGAAAGAAATAAAATTCAGAAAAGCCCGTGATTAGTATTTTAAGCTTGTAATATCTAATGACCACGAGCTAACACACAATTAAATGGCAGTGAGGATGGGTAAATCAGTCAGTGGTGATCAGTGTGCCCACTACAGCTGACCCAAAGTGTTGACACCAGGCTTGCTCAGCTCTGGTGGGTCAGGGCAGAGGTCCCTCCCTCCAGCCTAGGCTTCAGGTCCTGGGACAGAACAAACTGTAGACCTCAGGCAGGTAGATAGAGCATTTCCAAAAAGGAACAGCTGGAATGCTTTCTGTCTTCACTCTTTCTGAACCTTGGGATATTCTGCTTGCAGTAACTACACCAATGGGGAGAAAATGCCCATTTCCAGTTGGGAAGGTATGCTTAAAGGATTAATATATTTGCAGATAGGCTTAGGACAGTTGGAGTCTAAACTTGTAAGAAACACAGATGAACAAACTGAATTGGGTTTTTGTTTAGGCTCCCCCCTCGCTCTCCAAGCTGCAAATGCAGAATCACTCCAAAAAGTCAGCGTCAGAGCAGGGCCCCAGAACCAAAACCCTTCTGAGCAGTTTATTTCCACACCAGACTCAAGTGAACTGTACATTCACTTGACAACTTTGATACTCTCACGTAATAGGTCACATTGACCAAGTGAAATAAACCTTACTCAAGTTTAAGTTCACAAGGTTTCAGTCAGGGAAAATGAAAATCACAGCAGCAAGGAGGCACAAGCCCAGAGTTTGCCCTCCACAAAAGCTACAAGCTATTCTGTTCTACACCATTTTTATTGTCCTACACCATGTACTCAGGACATTACCAAACCTGGGACAAATTTGCTTCTACTCTTGAGGGCCAATTTACATCCCTACATTTCTCTTTCTACATTCTGCAGTTCTTCAAAAGGACCCATCAAAAGTCTTACAACTTCTCACTTCTGTTCTGGTTCAAGGGAAAGGAAGGAAAAGCACTGTCCTGCAGAAGGAAGAGCAGGAAACAAAGAGAAGTCAGAAGACCTGAAAGGAGTAAAAGAGGAAGCTGCTTATCCCCACCTCATAAAGCAAGAACAATGCCCAGACATCACAGTGATTGGCATTCCATATATAAGACAGTGGATTAATTAGCCATAATCATGGCCAGCCAGCAAATGTTAAAAGGTCACCTGATACTAATGGTGAGCAAGACAAACTGAGCTGCTTTAAAAAAACACTGTCATGAATAATTTCTGAGGGCTTAGCAATTCTTCATGCTTCTGTAAATTGCTCTTCTCCATTATGGTTGAAAAGCATTCTGCTAATTATTAATTGGATAATGATTTGTTTCTATCACTAATTCAATAAGGTGTTCAGAAGTGCATTTTGAAAGTTCCCAGCTCTAGAGACCAATATCAGACTTGTCTTTGTGTAACCTTGGAAGGCAGGTCTCAGGTGATAGAAGTGTGGAGCTTCTGCCCATTTTCAGTCAGTCTATGCCCAAAGTCACTGACCACCCCTATGCCTCTGACGTGGGCCCTGTGCCAGGGCAGTGCCACAACAATTTTTGCTTACATAAAAACCTGAAGACAACAAAGTGAAAAATATTCCCCTGGAGCTACCACTCCCTACTACCTCCCTAAGAGAAGCCAGACCATTAAAAATGCCACATAAATATCACTGACAGAAAACAGGCTTCAAGGTTATTTAGAAAAGCCCCACGCATAGACAACCTCCCCTTTTTAACAGTGATAAAAGCCCTGAGTGTTTCAAAAGAGCAAGTCATGCCACAGGCAAACCCACCTTCAAAACCCAGCAGCTCCTTTTTTGCAGGAGAAAAGGTAATGTGGGGGAAAGGTATACTACTCCTCCTTCATGGGCCACAGAGGCACAATCAGTTGGTACAAAAGCACATTGTTGAAACACAAACCATGGAAAGCTGCTTTATGAACCTGTGCAGCCAGCTGGAACAGCCATCAACAGCTGCAAGAGGAATTCACTCCAGGACTGAATCACTGCATTAAGGTGGAGGGTTTTTTTCCCTTTTATTACACGTGGCTCAGGCTGCTGATCCCCATCATGAAGACCCTCCAGAGAGCTGATTTCTCTGCTCCCTTATACCCTCAGGAGCACTCGTGGTGCCCAATGTATGACTTAATCTCCTCCTGAGACATCCTTTCTCCCCCTCCCATCATACAGCTCATCAGCAGAATTCCAAACTGCTACATCCTGCTCCAAGCTGACCCAAGGCTTTTGGCTGGAAGTCAGAGAGCAGCAGTGGTTTGGGGGCAGCCCAGCTGGAGATTTTGCTCCTAAAATAAAGGCGTATGTCTGTGATAAGTGATAGGACAAGGAAAAATGGCTTCAAATGCACAGGTATCAGGGTTAGATTTGATACCAGGAAGAAATTCTTAACTGTGGAGAAGCTCTAACATAGGTTTCTAGAGAAGCTGTGGCTGAAGCATCCCTGGAAGTGTTCAAGGGCAGGTTGGACCGGGCTTGGAGCAACCTGGGAGAGTGGAAAGGAGCTGAAATGAGATGATATTTAAAGTCACTTCCAACTTAAACCATTCAATGAACTGCATATCATGGAAAATGGGAAAAAACACCCAAATGGAATGACACATCCTGCTCTCCCCTGATTTTAATTCTGTTCTCTTTCTGATATAGGCTACTTGATTATACAAGAAATGTAACTGTCCCAGGGACATGAAAATATACTCTGTGAATTTATGAAAATACACTCTGTGAATTTGAGCTTAACATGGGCACATAACGGTGGGAGGAGACCACTGGCTGCTGCTGGCATGAGAGACAGCAAGTGACATCACAGGCATTTAGTAATTAAATATAATTGTCTCTAGAAAATTGTAAATTCCTTCATTGAAAACAACCATGCAAACCTCCAAACTTAGTGAAAGGAAATAAAAATTTCCAAACAAGTAAAAGCAAAAGTAGGAGACATCTTCAAACAAAATGCTGACTGAAATAAATACACCTCCTCCAAAGCTTTACTTTTATGGGATTTTTAGGGAAATGTCTCTGGTATTCTGGCACTGTTGCCAACTTCAGTCTTTGTGTGCTTCATTTCCATGGCAGAAATACCAGCAGATCCTTACACTGAGGAAAACTTCATTATTAAAGAGCAATAAGAAGATATTCGAAGAACTGTGTTCCACACCCAGGACAAACTTGTGAGAGCTATTCCAGCAAGCACACACCTCAGATAAGCTCCCCAGTGAGCCACAGCGTGCTATTCACAGGTGTTGTGTGCTGTTCTACGCTCCTTACCCGAAGTGCTACAGAGAGATGGCTCCACCAGTCTGCCGCTCCTGTCGTAGCAGGCGATGGCTCGCAGCCGCACGCCCTGGCCACACTCCCTGGCCGCTCCCTGGGCCGGCATTCCCAGCTGCAGCTCGGCTGGAGCCCCTTGGATAATGCAGTCAGACCAATTCCCATGGGGCTGGGGGGTGAACGCCTCGCAGGGGCACGGCTCCGTCTCAACTTGAGGATAAAGTTCCGTGTTCTGGCATTTGTCGCGCTTTCTGCTTCGCCCTGTTCCGACCACAGGAATCGGCGCGTTAGCTCAACATCTGCTGCTCTTGATAACAACACGTCATATTATTTATACTTGCATGAATTCAACACATTAGAACCAAGACAATCTGAATGTTAATATTCAGGGATGTTTCTGAAGCATCTATTAGCTGCTGCCAGTGCTCTGGCGTGCAAGGACAACGTACTTATCTCCAGGGGCAACCAGAGAACTTGGAAATACTCTTCTGATGGGTAGATGAAGGAGTAAAATATAAAGTCTCACTCTAGAAATGGTCTGCCCAGAAACTGCTTTGTAATTTCATATAATATAATTTTCCCCTAATTATCTGATGGAAATAAATTGATTGTTTTGTCTCTATTTGTTCGCAATCAATGGTTGCCAGGACAACTTCCGGAGGACCCTAAATTAGCTACAACTTCTTTGAGATTTCTTTACAAATTAGTTAAAGATGAGCTGTGCACACAAACCATGCTTTGAAGAAAACAGAAAAAGATAATCCTCAGTAAATTATTAGTGCTGGAAAGCATTTCAATGGTTGTGTTTGCTTTCATGTTTTCCTTTGCTCTGTTCCTTCAACAGGTTTTAAAAGAAAGCTCTTTCAGAAGTTTTAGGAAGCAGCAGCAGCATCCAAATAAACCCACAGTACAGCTCTCTGCAATTGCACTCTCCATGCCCTTGTCCTGCAGGACTTCAAGGCATGAGAAGGGGTCGGTCCCCAGTACAAGAAGAAATAATGCAAAACAGACAGTTCAAGCTCTGTGCATCCCTACAACTGCTCAAGGGAACAAATGTCTGTACACAGCCTCCAAAGATAAAAATCAATGCTTTTCTTGGCACAGGTCAGCCAGTGTGCCGTGGAACAATCTTGATGCTGGCTGAGCTCAGGAATGTCTTTGCATTTGGCATCTGCACACAAGGGAGAACTCATCTTCTGCAACAAAATGTATCTGTATGCCATCCTCAAAATATTCCTTGGGAATCTTGGATGCACTAAAAACACTTTTGCAGAAGGTTTTTAAAGCTTTGATGCCAGAATAAATGTTTTCTCTTCATTGCACACAAATAAGATACTAAAACCAAAAGGTAAGTTATGTAAGTCAACAATCCCCTTTCCAGCCTGGAACCAAGAGCCATTTCAGCACAGACAAGCTGGGTCTCATCAGTGCCTGTTTCCATACAAATATGTACCTGCCAAGGAAAGGCCCCTGACTGTAGACCCTTAATGTCACCATCCTTCAAGCCCCAGCTCTTTCAAAATGGTATTTTCAGAGTTCTGGGGAATGTAGAATTTGCCAGCACAAAATGATGCCAAAAAAAAATCAATCAGCATCTTTATAGCTTGGTAGATAAATCTATGTTTACATTTTAAGAATATATTTATGAGGAAATGCAGGTACAACTCCCCACATTTCAAGGGAAGTCTTTTAAGAGACTTTAACTAGATTGAGAGCTCTCTAATGGCATTTCCAGCCTTCTCTGCTTGAGAAGCCATGAGGAGCAACAAACTCTACGTTTGGTTGTGTGCTCTGCATTGTGTTAGTAAACATGGGAATTTGGGATTTGCCCATGTTTTGCCACCATGACACGAAGCACAACACACTGAGGTAAGGATGTCAATAATCTCATACTTATGTGACTGTTTTTTTTAACAACTTGCCCTGCCATCTGTTTTGTTGGAATCTTCCCCCTAAATGAAGCTGCTATGAAAGCCCTATTTTAAGGGGAAAAGTGACATTAATCCCATACTCTTCCCATAGAAATATTTTTAGAATTAGTGGTAGTGTATTTTTATCATCTTTACAGACTGCTTTAAAGATCATTGCTAAAAATACCATCTCCAAAATTTTTTTAAGACATAAACCCATCAATTAAATAGAATTTCCTTTTTTATTACATTTCTGAATACTAAGAAACATTATATATTAAATATTATCAGGTAGTACATACCGTAAATAAAATTATAGGAAACATTAAAAATACAGAAAGTGCTTTGTATCCACAATGCAGAGAATTAACTGACTGTATTAATTAACTGAAGACTCACCTAAAAACGGTGTTTCCATTATAATGACTTTGAATTTTGATATGTTCTGTAATAAGTCCTTCACTTAAGTAATGACTAGTTTCATATGTAGAGTCAATGATGAATTACAAAGTAAAATGAATTATACTATTAAAAATTGAGTGGAGAGCAAGCAAATATTCAGCAAACAATTAGAAGATTTCCATTAAGTGACATTATCAATGAACTCTTATAATGAAGCCAAAGCATTCACTTGAGAATAGACACACGCAGTTGATGAACAAGAGGTACAATTCACGCACACTTGCAGAGAGGTGAAATGCAAATGGATGAAGGTCTCTTAACATCACAAAATACTTTTGAAAATAACATTTTCCTTAATCTTTGAGTTCCTGCAGATGAGATTTTTTTCAAGACTTGTTTCTACCTCTATTTTTCAAGGAGCATTTATGCAAATACAAGTTGGCACCTGTCTCACTGAGTTCCCCTTTTGAGAGGGGGCCAAACCAAAGCCAGTGTCTGATTTGGGTGTCCCTTGCTGCTCTCTGGAGAATTGTCACATCGCCACCTGGGACATTCACTGCATGTTCACCACTTGCTTTTCAGGACACCTTCACTGGCCACAGGCTGAGACCACGAGCTCCATCCTGGCAGGAAAAATGGAACCAGCAAGGTCGGACAGGGAGACTGGTGGTGCTTGGTCACAAATGCAGTGCAGGTGAGGAGACAAACCAACAGAACCTGGGCATTAGAAATCATTTTTGGCCCACTTACTTGAACAGATCTCCATCTGATGTAGAACAGAGTAAGAAAGGGGATAGGTAGGGCTGTTTTGTAACTTGCACAATGCTCATAAAGAAAAATCAGATTTAGAACTACCTGTAAGTAATTATTAATTATTTTTTACATATTTTTTGTAAGACCAGGCACCTATTATTTTGCTAGGGATCAAGCATTTCTCCTACTATAAACCTACAGGCACTCGTATAGAGAACACTTTAGAATATGCTCTTTGCCAGAAACTACAGAGCACTGTATAATACTGGAGAGTTTTAGTGAAAAAGAAATCTTTATCCTTTAATGAGCCACACTGACAAATGGCAGCTTGAAACCAGTATAAATGTGTACTGTAATTGTTAGTTAGTAAAACATACAGAACATTCCAGCAGTAACAAATGGAGTAAGAAGACAGCCATGCAGCCAAGGACAAGTGAGTCTAGGAGGAAGGAGCAGTGGTGGCCACCACGTTTTGCTGCCCTTCAGGTCCCAGCTTTTATCTCAGCAGATATTCTTACAGCAATTTTAGCACTCTACTCCACAGTCAAAATCTTTGAAGTTACACCCCTATTAAAGGAGCAACTCAAGCCAGGTACATATTAGCTCTCAAACACAAACACAGAAACATGAAAAGATGTGACTGTTGAGAAGAACAATAACAGCAAATTTCTTGTAAACCATGTAAGCACAGTATAATTCTTTTTTACTTAACTATGCATGTGGGGGAAGACAACTCCCAGCAAAACATGCAGTTCCAAACAATTCATATTAAGGAGTTTTAAAGCTTTTCAGTTTGGTCAGCATTCAAATAACATAATAACAAACCTCAACAGAAAGTATGGAAGACTGATCCATCAAATGGTTTGAACTGGTGAGTTTAATGAACACATGTAAAAGATCAAACAAAGCTGCTCTAATGGTACTGGGTTTTCTTTATTCATGGTATTAATTTGCCCTGTTGAACTGGGGCATACCGCTGAGCACAAAACTCCCAGTTTTAAACTTCCTCCAGAAAATCACACTGATTTGTACTCCTGTATATGTATTTTCTGCATGCTTCCCAGATTAATAGGTCAGATAAACTTGCACAAAGCCTGGTCACTGTTTGATTTGGTTTGCATCTAAAACCTTTATACCTTTTCTGCACTGCTCTTGTACTGGAATGTGTATAAGGCTGGCAATGATCAGTGCCAGATGAAAAAGCAATGAAGGATGTTGTGGATTTTCCCACCACTCCAACACTGCAGAGGCATTATTCCCAATCAGACAAATATTGAAAAATATTATACCTGTGAGCGAGCGCCTCCTGCTCCTGGCTGTGTCACAGTCAGAGGAGCAGGCTGTGAATTTAGACCAGGGGGTGAAAGTGCAGTCATCCTTGCAGGGAATGTGGCACTCCTGGACCAGGGCTGGCATCGCTCCTGCCCACCGCACGCAGTCCCCGACGGCGGCAGCGTCGCCCTGCGCCGACAGGCACGTCACAGCTGCAAGCAAGGGCACAAAAACACAGAAAGCCTTATGTTCTCACATATATATACTGCATTACACTCTGGGCAGTCAGTCCTGGTGTTCTGTGTGAGATTCTCTCCCCTGGATTAACAGGATAAAGCTGATTTGGTTTTAGGGTTCGTGTGTCACTCAGTGAGTGAAGCTTCACTAAACCATAAAGACACGTTCTTGTTTGACCAGTGTGTTATCTAAATGATGATATAAACTCAATATTCTCAAGGAGCAGTCATTTTAAAGGTTGTGGGATTTAACCAATGATACATTGTACAATCAAGCAAGAAAATAGGTAACACTGTGGCCATGAGCCAGAAAACATATTTGGTCGAGGCCAGGATTCACAAGCTGTGATGTGCTTGCTACTCATGGAATTGAAACTGCGATAAAAAAAAAAAAGCCCCTAAAAAATATAAAAGAAAGCTTCTTTTTCCAAAACCATCATTTTTTCCATATTTTAGATGAAAGGAGTGACTGAGTAGATGCTACAGCTAAATGCTTCCTTTAGCAAGGTGTAAGTACCAGATCTGGCCCCTCCATTTCGAGCTCCCTAAATATTGTGATACCTCTTATACTCTCCCACTTTGTCTGCTGTCCTTTTTTAGAAGTAATAATTAATTTTTCACGGTGGATATTGGTACTGTATAGCCATGATAGAGAACAAAAATATTTAATGTATGAATCTGAGTCACAGGAAACCTAGGATAAAACTTGCTAAATTCAGTGAATTAATAGTAAGTAATTATAATAAATAAAAATAGCCTGCACATCATGGAGTCTTTCATTTCATTAATAATAATTAATTCTCATAAAACCTCCAAGATTATAGGCTATTTATATCCTCCAGTGTAGGTTAAACAAAGCAAAGGCAGGTCATGACTTGATTAAGGTAATAAACTCAGGGACAGAGTAATGAACTGAATTTGGCCATGAGATTTCAGTCATGTTGGGCTCTCTGATTCTAGGCAAGTCCACACATTGTATCATAAAACTACTAAGGATGAAGTTATTTCATACAGATTTTATTATTTAACTTTAACAACCTGTGATATTATTTTATGACAATTGCTAAATAATTCAGGTTTTTGAGGCTGCATATATTTTCCTTGTTGCCAGCAGTTAATGTGAGTAAGAGTGCATGAAAAGAAAGGTAAAAACAACTCTGTTTTCTTCCAGTTAAAGGATTTACTGGGGTGTAACTCTGCAATGAATACACATGATTTTTTGGGTTTTAACTATAGCACTGTATGGGAGAAAGGAATGGGTTAGCAATCACCTGGAAATAAAAAAAACATCTTATTAAAATGTAATTAGATTCTATGGAAAAAATCAGCATTTTGAAGAGCATGCAAAAGGCAAGCAATTGTTAAACATCTCTTTAGACTCAAGTGACAGCAAATCAGCATATTAATGACCACCTCTAAATTGCTGATCCTTGCCTTTCACTTCCAATGCTGTGACCCTTCCCAGCTCCCAGCTCCAGCTGTGAGCCTGGAGCCCTCCCCTCCTCATTACGGGACAGAGGTCACAGCTCCGCGCGGGGACACGGCGTAATTGCCCCCTTCAGGAAGGTTAAACAGGTGAGAGACTCTGGTGCCCAAGGTCTGTGTAGCCTCATTACCTTCAGCAAGGACACCCCAGGCTTGGCCACACAGCTGTGACCACGTGAGGTGTGGCCAAGGGGACGCAGAGCATCTCCTCAGCATCGCGACGGCAGCTGGCAGGGATATGAACATCGTCCTCCACTGCCAGCTCCACACAGCAGGAATTGTGATTCCAGAGCAAACCACCCCACAGCCATGCTCAGTGGGAGCTGCCAGAAAAGCACAGCTCATTCCTGACACTATTAATGATGTCAGGACAAGTAATAGAAGTTCTAGGTATCGATGTTAAACCAGACACCCCACTGCTGTGATCAGTTATTGTCTAACCGCCCCAACTTCTGCACAAACGGCCACAATTTTAAGCATTCAAATAATTCACTAAGTTCACTGAGCCTATTTGGATGCTAAAACAGATCTATATATATAAGGAAATATGAAATCAGGGCAAATATTTGACAGAGATTATGGAGTTTAAAGAAATTATTGACAATGGAAACATGAGAGAGGAAAGTTAAAGTAACAAATAATACAGTGAATTAGATATGTATATGTATAAGCATGGAGACAAGAAGGGGCTGAAAAGAATGTCTAATGTATACTCTGATAAGAGAAATAACCCCTAAAGGAGGGGAGGAGGAGGATCTCCTGTGACTCTTGCTACATGCTTAAAACCTGGCTTAAGGTGAGCTGCATGAATTGTTAAAACAAAGAAAATTATAAAGCAAAAGCCCATTAGGGCATTTTAACAGATGGGGAAGAGGCAGGCAGAAAGCAGCAGAAAAAACGGACCCAACTCCAGCGGCTCCATCAGAAACCAATCCCCTCATTTTTGCTTCTTGCAAACTTCCCAGTTTACTTAGCTTTAACTTCTAAGAGAAAAATATTTTCATATACAGGCAGTTCTGGAAAGAGAATGAGAGAAATTTGTTTTCAGTGAACCTTCAGGAAAATAAAATTATTTATCCTCAGTGGTTTCAAACTACTGATTGGTTTGGCTCATATGTGGTTTATGCTGCATAAAAAATATTTCCCCTTAATCCTCAGTTCTGTCACAATGGTTTTAAATAAACTCATACCGCAAAGCTATTTCTGTTATGTCAACATTTCTTTTGTTTTTTCAAGTGGGATACCCCCAGAGAGTAAATGCAGTCCATTTGCAGCCCTATGCACTGAAAAAAAAAATCACAGTAACAAATCCCTCCTAGGCATAATGTGTGATTTCTACCATCTCTAAAGCATTTAAAATGGACACAAACATATGACAAAAACTGCTAATAATTGGACGCTACCAGATAAAGGCCTTCAAATTATAATATTCATTCCCACCAAGAGAGGAAATGCAGGATTTCCTCTTGAACTCCTACTATTCTTTTTTATTACCACCATCAACCCCACCAAACTGGAATTAAACACTTGGGGCCAAATTATGGCATGGCATTTTAATGCAATTCCACTGACTTAAAAAGAACGGCTGTCACAAAAAAAAAAATAAAAACCAAAACACTTTTTCTTGTAATGATAACCATGAGTTCATGAATTAAAATGAAAGGCAGCCAGGTTTAAGAGGCTGAAAGAAAATAACTTTTATTCAGGGAAGGGCTGGAATTGTTTAGCAGACTGTGTGGATGCACCTACGAAGGTGCCAACACAACAAAGCAATAAATATGAGCAATGAAAACAGCTGCATACTTTGCTTCAAGGTTTAAGTCAAGTGTTAAATGTAGAGCTTGGGGAACAAATTTCCCTTTCTGCTGCTACAGAGCCCTGCCAGGAGACTGAGCAAGGACTGCTAAGGGGATATGCAGTGTGACAGTCTCTGTCTTCTGGCTTTGCATTCCCACCCACAAGAGTGTGTCTGCGTGCCAGCATCTCAGCATATGGCACACACAAGCATATGGGAGCTACATTCTGTAACTACATTTCTCCTAAATTGAAAGTAAATAACAGACACTTCTCCTATAAACTTTTAGATGGTGAAATCAAATGTTTGCACACTGTCAGATTGCAGAGGCACTGAAGGCATCCTTGGATGATGTTACAGCATCACCAAAGCAGGGTGTCAGCATCAAACTGAGGGGACTCAGGTGCTCTCAGGTGTTCATGCCTGGCATAAGAGCATTGAAGATGATCCTAAAAAAAGGAATTGTATTGAGAATGAAAGAGTACAGGCACAGCACTGCCTCCAATAAGGAAACAAACCATAAATTTAATTCCTCTTAAGTAAAAATCCAATTACAGACAGCCTCTGTAATCATGTTCATTTACCTAAGTTACAATCAATTCTCCTTTAAAAATGCATTCCAACAGATTCCAAAGGGTAAAAAGCTAAAGACTGAGAGTATCAACTATGAACCAGTAAAATTATATTGTACCATGGCACTTTCAATTTGAGAAAAGTAAATTAGTGTTTTCAAAACTCTGGAATTAAATGTCATTAGAACATCTGAAAACCATGACTGATAATTCCAAGAAGGTACACTAAGGCCAAACATTAAAACTAAAGCTATGCAGTAGGGCAAATGAAATGACTGGAATTAGTACAGGAACAATAGGATGAGCTATAAGGCTAGACAAGAGCTTTAATGCCAAGAGGTGTAGGCAAAATAAGGTCATAATCTTCCCTGTCTTCAAACTCTAAGAATTGTTGAAAAATCAAAGCCAGCATGTAAAGTCAAAGCAATTATTTTAATATAGCTCTTTACCCTCTTGTTCAGAAAAACCCTCATTTCTGTTGCATAATTATTCTTAGTGTCCCTCGATGTAATGAGATAACAGATCATTGCTTACACACATCACTACTGGTAAGTGAAAAAGAAGTTAAGGGATAATGTATTAGAAAACTAAGGAATAAAATACCATAAGGGTCTAGGCATGCTTAGTATAAGTATAGTCCCATAACTCGTGATGACCTCATTTATTTTCTATACTGATGCTCCTTCATACTTACAACAAGTTTCTTCAGAATCCCAGGTGGAACATTTACACTATTATTGGTATGTTAATGCAACCCCTAATTATAGCAGGCCAGAATCAGACAGAATAGAAGACATAAGATAAGGCTCAGCTGAGACACAGGCTGAAGTTTAAAGTCCTGATTCTATAAGAAAATAAACATACACTTAACTCCATCCCTGTGGCAGCCCCTTTGGATGGCAGCACTCCCTGCCATGAAGTGTGTCCAAAGTCTGGACTTGCAGAACACTCCATAAGATAACCACTAAAAGCAAGTCTGAGGAAAAGAACAAATGATGCCAGCAAGGACATCACAGACACAAATCTCGTACAAATAACTGAGGAAGAGCTGGGACAACTAGTTATTCAGCAGGAAAACTGTCTCTGAGGTCACCAGCTTCCCATTCTGTAATTATTAATGATAT